GCAGGAGGAGAGGGCTAGGGAGGAGGGGAGCCCGGTGCAAACACGCACAGCTGCACACTGCACGCAAACTCACTTCCTTTCCTCCCGGGCTTGTTCTGCCTCCCTCCTTCTCTTGCCCACTCTCCTCCCCCTTTCCCTTTTAGTATTTCTTGTCTCAAGCTTTACCTTTCTGGTTCTCTTCTCATCTCTGCGGTCCCTTTCTCTCCCCTTCTCTTCCTTCCCTCTCTCCCATCCTTTCTCCCTGCTCCTGAGGTCCCCTCAGAAGGAGCCTCCCTCCAGAGCTTTCCTCCTGCCTGATGCACCCCATAGGCATGCTGACAACACACGCACCCTTTATCTTTGGCATCACATTTTGACTGTACCTGGTCTATGTTTAGATATACAAATACTTATCATTATGTTTCGGTTGCCCACAGTATTCAGCACAGTAACATGCTGTACAGATTTGTAGCCTAGGAGCAATAAATGGGCTACACCACATAGCCTAGGTGTAGAGTAGGATACCTTCCAGGTTTGTGTACGTGCACTGTGATGTCTGAACAAGGACGAAATTGCCTAAGGATGCATTTCTCAGAATGTATCCCTATCATTAAGCAATGCATGACTAATGAAATTCTGGCACATGGTACAATATAGATGAACCTTGAAAACCTTAAGCTAAGTGAAATAAACCAGTTATAAAAGGGCAAATACTACATAAACTCCAGTCATATGAGGCACCTAGAGCAGTGAAATTCAAAGAGACAGAAAGTGAAATGGTGGTTTTCAGAGGCTGGGAGTTTTGAATAATGGGGAGTTATTATTTATGGGCATGAAGTTTCAATTGCTGAAAAAGTTCTGAAGGTGGATAGTGGTGAGGGTCACACAACAGTGTGAATGTACTTAATACCACTGAACTACACAATTAGAAATGGTTACAATGGCATATTTTATGTCATACTTTACCACACGGCAAAAATGAATTGCTTTCAAGTATAGGCCTCACTAAAATTCAGACACTATGCTAAATGACTTAAATTGATTTTTTCATTTAATATCTATTATTTTTTTTAAAAAGAATAAGTGTTGGTGAGGATGTGGAGAGATTGGAACCCTTGGGCATTGTTGAAGGGAATGTAAACTGATGCAGGGTTTTTGAAGACAAAAAAAATAGCCTCTTAGAAAAAGTGACCTGTTCAAGATACACCAGTAGGAAGCAGACCTGGAACTAAAACCCTCACTGTCTGACTCCCATGTCTACCTGCTTAGTCAGTGTGTTATACTAAAAAGAGCAACTACAGTAAGATAATGAGATAAAAAGCAAATTAAAATAGTTTTCAAATGACATTTTAAATTGAATCAATACATTATAAGTGTTTATAGTGAATTCCCAAAGTGATGTGATGTCCAGACAGGATTTTGATTATTTTGATTGATAAGAGAACACCTCAGATTGCTCAACATTGACCTTCACCATGAAGTTCTCATCTCAAAACCACAGCACCTCCAGAAATCAGACAAGAAGCCAGAATGCCTGAGAAATAATGGCAGAATATATACCTTCAATTGCCCCATTTTCCCATAAGCCTTGGAACATTTTATATTCCCACTTTTTAAATAAAACACCGTGGTCTCTTTTATATTTTTAAATTATATTTATGTTTAACTCTAGACCTGTGAGTGGACTCCTAGAGAAGGATGGGAAGGATACCAATCAATATGTTAACAAAAGTTACCTCTGGAAAGAGTAGTAGAATAGGAAGAAAACAGGTAAATAAAGGAGAAACCATTACTTTGACTTTTACACAGTCTGTTTCAGTTTTTCGAAGAAGACAACCATCCCACTGACATTTATTCAATGTGTACTTTTCGGTCCAGGACTATGGCGGTTCTGTTGAAACAAGATGAAGACAGAGTGCTTACCTGCAATGAGCTCCATATAATAAACAGATAAAATGTCTCATGTCACCATGTGCAGCCCCTCCAGGGAAATTTTACCAACCTGATTCCCCAAATGTTCCCTGCCCCTTCAATGACTCTTCTTCCATGGACTCCTTGACTGCCACCACCACAAATAAGTGCAGCCCAGCTGTATTAAAGGGAAGGCAGTACAGACTAGCATGTAAGGCTTGGGCTATTGTGTTAGACTGTCTGAGTCTGCACCTGCTATTTGTTCACTGTGTGACTTTGGGCGAGCTTCTTAATGTCCCTGTGCCTCTGTCTTAGCTAACCCTCACAGGGTTGTTGAGGGTTAGGTAAGACATGTAAAGCATTCGTCTTCTTATTGTTTTAAGATTTTGTTTATTTATTTTGCAGGGGAGGGAGGGAGAAAGAGAGGGAGAGAAACATCGACATGAGAAAGAAATATCAATGGGTTGTCTCTCCTATGCACCTGAACCAGGGATCAGATCTGCAGCCCAGGCATGTGCATGACTGGGAATCAAACTAGCAACCTTCTGCTTTGTGGGATGATGCCCAACCAACTGAGCAACACAGGTCAGGGCCATGTAAAGCATTTAGAACAATGTCTGCTTATATATTAAGTGGTCAGAAAATGTTAGCCATGGATGCATCCAATAGTCATCTACTAGCAACAGATTGTCCAGGGATGGTAGGGGAGAAGAATAAAAGATCATTCAAGGAAGAAGGGACATTAGGGATCATTTTGCAGATGAGGGCATGGAGAGAGCCATAGTGGCTCCATGTCATGCCTGAGGTTACACAGCGGGGTCAGCAGCGGCACCAGGGCCAGACCCAGGTTCTGTCTGACATAGCTCAATGTCCAAAGGAAGACAAAACAAGAGATCTCCAAACTGACCCTCCACTTAGGTGCATATTACAAGTTTTATGTACTCCAATAACTGTAAATTATAAAGTGATATAGACAGGTGAATAGACAATTCTCTCAGTGGGATAAGAAAGAGCTATTCTGCATGCACGGCGGGGCAGGAGGAGGAAATGTGTGACAACCACCCATGTTGAAGACTACAGGGCGTGGACTGGTTTTGGAAAAGTAGCCTGGGTAATAAATAGTCCAGAATGCCAGACACTTCAGCAGAATTCCAAGACAACCACCACAGAATGAGTCCAAAAGTGGGGTCCGGACTCACTGGTCCATCCTGCCCACAGAGGCTGCAGGCCCTGAAGGCAGGTCACAGAAGCAAGAGAGAAGATAGGGAAGGTATGCTGGGCACAAGGTGGAGACCAGACTGCAGAGATGGATGATTCCAGAAGCACTTCTACTATGTGACTGCTGCCAGCTTACCTTCCCATCCCCCACCAATCTACCTCCCAAGTCTCTCCTTCCCTCTCAGGCTCTCTACTCCACCCTCCCACCACTCCCACCTTTCTAACCTTTCTGCTCACTAACCCCTCACAGATTGTCCTGTATTACAATTCATTGTCCACGTAGATCCACACTTTCCAGCCTCTTCCTCCTAAAATGCCTGCCACCTGCTCTTGTTCTATGATCCCTTCCCTCTCTATTAAAACTATTGGGCAATTTCTTTCCCAGAAATGCTAACCTTCCCACAAAGCCATCCTATAATAAGAAGTCGTCTTTCCATCCTTTGTCCTCCCAGAACCTTCTCGATCTTTTTAAGGCACTTGATAGATTCTACCTCACTCCCTTCCCTAGACTCTCTCCTTTACAACCTTTTACAGAGCATCATTAACAACTAGTCAGCACTAGTAGTTGCTAGTGCAGAGGTCCGAACGGTGGATGGAAAAACTGATGTGCAACAGGGGGAGCTGGGAAGGAAGGCAATGAAGAGTGAGTACAAGAGCAGACTTACTCTGTGCCAGAATTCTTCTAAGTGTTTAACATATGCTGACTCAATTAGTCCTCAGAACAACCCCATGAGGTAAGTGCTATTATCTCCACATTACCAGGTGGAGGTGGAAACTGAGGCAAAGATGGGCTGAGTAAATTGCCCAGTGTCACACAGTTGGGTTGTGAACTGAACAGGGCCAGTTGGCTCTTTATATTGTTTCTCTGCAATATTGTTCCTTCTAACCCCATACCCCTGAAAAACACTTCAACTGTTCCACCCATTGTATGCATTGACTTTCTGAATTGAAAATACATTCTGCTACTTGCAGTTATGGCACCAAATTCCCACCTACTGCATTCTAAGCTGGAAATTAAAGATCAGTTCAGAACAGATATGCCATGAGAGTAAAAAAATATATGATAAATTCTCAAGTCCAAAACATTGCTTAAACAGAGATGACTATAGGTGTTTCAAATGAAATAGGCCTCACGCCATTCAGCTAGCTCAATACTTGCCATCATTTCCATCCTGAAATATATATACCAGAACCATCTTCAAGCAAACACATCTGAGGATCACTCTAAATATTATTTTGATAGAATCATGGGATTAATACACAGTTACAGTATAACATTATTGATATACACAAATTGCCACACATTTAAGATTTTTTTAAGTATCAGAAAGAAATCTGGGCCTCCTACGATTGATAGGAGAATATAGAAAAGACACATTTGCATTACAATTGCTTTCAAATGTAAGTGAAATTGCAATTAGCTATATGAGGTTATAAATAATCTAATATTAAGCATCCTATTAACAGAAGCAAAAGCTTTGTTAATTCTGAATAAGCCATATGATTTTCTTAATCTCCTATCAAAACAGTCGGAGACAGGAGGCTGTCTAAAGATTTCAGCTTTACAAATGTATAGTCTGTTTTCACAGAAAGAAAACAGAAAAAAATAAATGTATCAGTAGGTTCAACTTGGAACTTAGGACTTCACAACAGGATATCAGTTAAATTTCTGCTTACAGGAAATTTTAAAATAGCATACAGATGAACAAAAAGTTAAATTCAAATCTTAGCAAAGCAGAAGAAAAGGAAGACAAGGCTCCATGCAGTTTGTGGCAGCAACCGATATATTTTTCTTTCCCTGATGAAGAGAAGACTAATGAGAACAGCAGAAAGACTCAGAACAGAGATCACAGCAGGAGAAATATGATAATCAACACGTAGCCAAAACTTACCCAACTCGATCTGTTTACTCAACACTTTATTTTTCCCACTTTGCCCGTTTAAATCAGACAGCGGCTGGGCTTTTGTTGTTGCTGTTTCTATTCTTTTGATCCCAAAGCCCCATGAAAATTAAACTGTGTGTTGGATGGGATCTGGCACTGTCTCGCATTTAGAGGGGGAAAAAAAGTTTTGAACTTGGATTCTTGGTTGCTTCTTTGGGGAAATGAATAAATAAGTAATAAGTGGCTAGAAGGAGAAGACGTGGGGTACGTGCTGAGCTGACGTCGGGCCCGCGACCGGGCTGCACAGTTCCTGAGCGCAGCTGTCCAGATGTGCCTCATCTGGTTCCCCCGCGGGGCTCGAATCTCAGCCGCGGCGGTTACCCGAAGCGCCTGCTCATTGGTAGCCGCGGCTCCTTGCTTGCTGTGTATTGGCCCGTCGGCCCGCCACTCCTGCAGGCCTGGGGCCCGCCCCCGCCCTCTGGGCCGGCTCCCTTCATCCTCTTAAGGAACCTGGAAGTGCAGCTCGCGCTGATGTGGCACTCGGCTGCAGCGAGCGAACCCGAAAGGGGCCTGGGACCGAGAGGGGGCTCCTCCGCATCCAGGCCCCTGTTATGCCCATCCATTTAGACAGCTAGGCTGGTTTGAACAGGATGATTTCAATCTATTCTTAGGATGAAATTAAGGCACGCCTCGCGCTCGTTTAAGATTCCTCTTCGCCCAAGATCCCAGTGGAAGGCACTCGGGCTCAGGGATGCCCACGTCCCTCAGAGGTCCTACAGGCCAGGCCTCAGGACCTCATTCGCTCCACTTTCCCCAGGGAGCAAATTATAAAATCCAAGAGCCTGTTCCTTGAGGACAGTACTTTTTTTGTGGGCTGAAAAGCCTTAGTGAATCCTTCATTGAAGTCGTTATTAACCAGAAGGTGGTCGTTACCTGCCGAGAGCTGGTTACAGAGGTGCTTTGGTTGATTTTTTGTTTTTGTTGGATGGCGGAGAAAAAGAAATGTTGCTTGTTTCTGTGAGAAATTAGACGGGGGAGGGGTGAGATTTGCTAATCAATTTGCCATTATGACTTAAAGATGTTAACAGAAATGTGACCTCAGTGAAATATTAAGATGGCAAACGCACACTCATTTGGCCACAGACATTGAAAAGTGCCAGGTTCTGTACCAAGCAGCTTGATCCACATTATCATATTTAATTCTTATGACCGACATGTGAAGCAGATATTACAATTATCTTCATTTTCAGATGATGCTACCAAGACACTGAGAAGACTCGGCATACCACTGGGGTCTCCATGTGTGCTTGCAGCACTGCATCCTGTGGGCATACACAGATAGGCCGTTTGCCAGGAGTGGATGGGTCAGAACTTAGTGTGAGTGCCTCTCACCACATAGATGATGTCCTCTTGGTTTGATGTCCTCTATATTTGTTATCTATAGCTGCCTATGTAATAGATTGCCACAAATTCGATAGCTTAAAATGCCACACATTTATTATTGCACAGTTTCTGAAAGTCCAAGCATGGCTTAAGTGAATCCTCTGCTCAGAGTCTCACAAGGCTGTAGTCAGGGTGTTGTCCTGGATGCATTCTGTGAATGACAAGGGGCTACATTCGAAACCCGACAAGCTCAGGGGTGGCCTGCATGACAGCTTTACATTCCTATGTGGTTCCTAAAGGAATCACATAGGAATGTCTGAAATAAAAAAACTTATTAACTAAAAGCAGGTCATGGCGGGCAGTCTGTCCTAGGCTAGAATCTTCCTGACAAAAGTCAATCTTCAACTTCAGTGAGCACGTCTATTGTCATGGCGCATCTATGATAACAGACCTTTGGAATGTCAAGGTAACTTCTCTTTTCCCAAGCCTCTTAGGCACAACCACCAGAGCAGAGACTACAAATCCCCACATCTTTATTGTTACCATGTTAATTGTTGACTGTTAACTATCCTGTACCCACCTGTGTAAAAGAAATGTGTGTCTATTACTTTACTTTTTATCCAATCCCAGGTTACCCACTTTGCTTTTTCCCGCCCCCATGCTATCACCAGTAGATTTCATGTAACCCCCTTTTGCCTTCTCATTGATTATTATCTATGAAATAAGGTGCAAAACTGCCATTTTCTGGATCATTTTCTCAATTCATTGAGAGTTTGCTCCCCAGCAATTGTCATCAGTTTGGCTCAAATCAATTCATAAAAATTTTTACATATTTGGATGTTTCCCATGTTGATAATTCTCACCTGGAGGCTTGATTGGGGAAGAATCTACTTCCAAGCTCCCTCAGTTTGCTAGCAGGATTCATTTTCTTTGCAGCTGTAGGGCCAAGTCCCCTGTTTCTCCTGGAACACCGCCTAGCTGCCCTTACCCTCTAGAGTTTACTTTTTGCTCCTGCGTGTCCTAAAAGCCAGGAGGTGGAGGTCATGGGGGGCTACTGTGGGCATGTCAGCCACAGAGGGCTAGTCAGACACTTTAGTCTCTATCATCCTGATTGCAACGTTATCACATCTCCACAAGTGCTCCAAAAATTCAAGGCCCTGCTTTCCAAGTAAACTGACAGTCAAGGAAACCCACAAGGAAGGGTTAGCCCTTGAAATCAATCAAAAGCTTGCTTTTCCAAAACATCTGTAATCTGATGAGAGTACACATTTTACCACAATGGGCTCATAGTCAAGGTATATGATCAAACTTCCATGCTCATTACCATTGACAGGCACCTGAAATCTATTTGACCATTGGAACAGCTTCCTCAAAAATCTACTAAAGAAGTAAGTTGGGTGGGGCAGAGCCTCTGGGGATCTCCAAGGTGGGTCACACAGTGTTAACCAGGTTGATGGAGTCTCAGATGTGCCACCAGCCTACCCGCTCTGTGGGGGATGGGCTCAACAAAGTTTAACTTCAAAAAAGATGTCTGACTCTCCTTCTTCTCCTTCTGGTCCACAAAACTTAGTAGAACAGTTTGGTCACTGAATGCAGCTCTCCCCAGAAAGGAATAATCACCTCTCAGATACTTTCTAGTAATGTTCAGGGATAACTACCTGTCAGATGCTTTCTAGTAATGTCTAGATGAAAGGGGTGGAGGTTCATGCAGGAGTATTTTGACAATTTGGAATTCTGCCCTTATCATTCCTGGGCATGATATTCCATTCTTTTCCTTAATGGCAACTCGCGAGGCCAGCTGGGTTGGTACACCCTCCTCGAGAGGCAGCCTGGCCCAAAGGGGCTTTAAGGATTCAAAATGAATTCTAGCTCAGCCACCTGCATTCTCTTGTTGGATTGGCACTGTCCTAGATCACAAAGTTAGTGAACGTGTGGTTGAACACGCTGCTCACTGAGTCCCCTGTAGGTCCAAGTGGGAGGCGTAAGGGATCTCTGTAAGTTCTACAACAGTGTGCTTGTCCTTCTTACACCTCACCCTCTGGACTAAAGTGGGTGTGAACAGAGTATGACTGGGAAAGAGGTGAAGTTATAGCTACTGGAATGAACACACTCATTTTGTAGAGGTGAGGGGAGATCAATAACCCTGGCACCTGAGGAGGGACACTGGAAACCCTGGGACATATGAAGGAGTGGGAGGAACAGTGATCATATTTTATCTTTCATAACTGCCCCTGGAGCCTTCACTCCAAGGAAAATGCCTTGATGCAACTCTCGCAAACTGCTACAAGCATCTTAGATGACACTGTGGGTCTGTCACCCCCTGCCAGACAACTCACACTACAATTTGATAGCCATTCCCCTCAACCTTACAAGAGTCCATTAGAAATAGCAAAAGGTGGCTCCAGCTCCTGTACCTTGCTCACAGAACACCTGTCAGCACCACTGAATGTTTTATTCACTCCCATTCTCAGTCGTCCCACAGGGTAAAAAAAAATACCACTCAGCTAGTGGTACAAACAAACAAGAGAGGTTGGATTAACTACCTTCGGGTATTCCAAAAAGGTAGTTGGATTAACTACCTTCGGGTATTCCAAATAGACCTACAAGTGTTTAAACAAACACTACCAGCAGATCATGTACAGCTCTCAGATCACAGTGATCTCTCAAAAACTACCCTTGGTTACCTGGAAAAGCTTTCCAGAGACACTAGTGACTCACCACTTATGCACACCCAGCCGGCAGTTTTTCCTGCAATGGGAGTTGTCAACTTAGAAAAGACGGCACAAATTTACTCCATGCTTTAGCTGAAGGGATCAAGGACTAGCCTCAATTATTCTAACTTAACTTGGAACCTTAAGGCTTACCAACTAGCCAGGAGGCCACACCAGAGGCACTGTCAATCTGTGCCCTCCCGATGTACAAAATAGACAGGGGACGTTAAGAATAGTATAGGAAATGGAGAAGCCAAAAAACGTATATGTACGACCCATGGACATGAACTAAGCGGCAATGAGGAGGGCAGTTCTGGAGGGAGGAGGGGTGCAGAATGGAGGGGGATGAAAGGGAGGAAAAATGGGACAACTGTAATAGCATAATCAATAAAGTATACTTTAAAAAAATCTGTGCGCTCCCAATCCACGCTCATGCAGACTCCCCTGAGTAGTCCCAATAATTGCCAACACCCTGGTCTTTCCAGGACACCATGTCTGTCCCCAGGAGCTTAATTCTTGAAATGAGAGCCAGGCGTTAACTTGTCTTCTTCCCCAAAACATGTAGAGTTGCATCTTAGGAATAGACCTACAAGTGTTTAAACAAACACTACCAGCAGATCATGTACAGCTCTCAGATCACAGTGATCTCTCAAAAACTACCCTTGGTTACCTGGAAAAGCTTTCCAGAGACACTAGTGACTCACCACTTATGCACACCCAGCCGGCAGTTTTTCCTGCAATGGGAGTTGTCAACTTAGAAAAGACGGCACAAATTTACTCCATGCTTTAGCTGAAGGGATCAGTGATACCACATTGCCCCCAAAGGCATTCCGGTCAGCCTCAACTCACTGTCCAACTCAAGAACGTTTGCAGAGCAAACAGCCTTGCAAAATAGAGATAATGTCTTCTTCCAGAACAGAGGACATTTTTATTTAATAATAAAGATAATGTCTCCTTCCAGGACAGCAGTAGAAAAAGTTTGCTTGTAACCTATTACATAACATTGGGATGTTCTAAGCTCAGAAACCATATGTTCAAGAATCAACTGTCTCTCATTCTGTACAATTTGGGGCTCTGAGAAACAGCTCAAATGGTGATGTTCTGGCTATCATGATTGTGAGTAATACACTGTCCTTTGTCTCTGACCCAAGAGTCTCATGTTCTTTGTCATCATCCATGACACTGTGGCACACTAACTTGTTAGTGGATGTATATGGTAAAATCTCAGAATCTCCACAGTTCTTGGCAGAAGT